AAACCCACAGAGAACATGGACATTTCCCACCAGTGGAACTGTCAGCAAGGGAAAAACAGAACCGCAGAGCTCACGAACCATCGAGAAGAGGCATTAACCATATGTCCCTACCTTGAAAATCGAAGCATCCACCTCCTGGTTGTAGTCCTGCTTCCCGGCGTGTTTCCACGGGATGCGGAACATGGTTTTCTCCTCGTTTTCCCAGATGAGCCCAGGGTACAGCTCGCTGTCGATCTGCTCGATCAGCCACTGCCGGAGCCGCCGCCCGCCGTTGCGGTCACACATCCTGGATGGAACAAGAGGTCCAAACCCCGTTAGCTCCCCCAGCACCATCCCACCACGACTGGGGTAAAAGGGATCATGCCACGTTCACAGCCGGGAGTGCCAAGATGAGCAGCTTGCAGGTCCCACATGCCAACCTCTATACCTTAAAAATCGCTCCCCAGCTTCTTTTATAATTAAAAAAACAAGGTAATTTTCTATGAGTTACTACAAATTCTTCCTCCAGGTCTATCAAAGCTCTGCTCACAGAAACAGGCTGACGGTGCTCTGCTTATTCCTTTTCTTTTTTGCTGCGGGGTAAGTGACATCGGAAGCAGATGAACGGAGATTAAAGCACCCAGTTATGCTGTCACCCGAGCAAGTGACACTGGACAGACACCCATGAGTGTCTGCAGCAAAGTGCTGTCCCCAGCTGGTCTTGGCACAAGGGTCTGTCCTGGAGGACACGCAGCCCCTCTTTTCCAGGCACGGCCAGTTTGGGGAGCAGGGGCTGGTTCCAGGCAGCACCCAGAATCATCGCAGAGATGGGGCCACCAAACAAACCCTCTCAAACAGAGAGCCGATGCCAGGTTGGAGCAGGGTGAGGTCAAAGCCACCCTTGCAGGGGACCTCGGGGCATTTTTAGTCAAAGCCGCTGGGTGACTTCATGGAGGACCCATGAGAAAGTTTCTCCCCTCCTGGCATCCCCCAACACCTCCATGGCAAGACCCACAGGGACTTCAGGAGTTGGTGGCCTGGCAGAAGAAACCAGCAGCACCAGGATCAGCCCTCCAGGCCTTTTGGGCTCACATTCCTCCTCCAAATTTTACAGGACTGCCTCTCCCTCATTCTTTTTTTATTTATTGCCCCATGGGAAGATTTGGGGGAGAAGACAATGATCTTCCTAACACAGCCTGAGACCTGGAGGTCCCTGCTTTGCCATGGGCTCACATTAGCTCAGTGCCACCAACTTCTGTCCCTTCTGCATTGCTCTACCACTGCACAGCAGGACACACGGACCTCCCTGGCCAGCCTCAGCACAGCCTCTGTTTTTAGGGATGGCATTAGCCAACACCACCAGCCAAAACAACATCAAGGGCCCAGCTCTGGGTCTCGGCCACCCCTCAGCATGTGCCACAGCTCATCCCTGGAGGGACAGGGGTACACGCAGCCTCTCCGTGGGCTCCCACACCAAACACCTTGCACCCAAACCACACCAAGATGAAGAATCTCAGAAATACTTGCTGAAATGGGGCTCTCTTATAAATCTGCCCGTTTTCTAGAAAGCTTGCTCCCGCCACTGCCAGAGGCCAGAGCTCCGTTTCCCCTCCACAAAAAGACTAGGCAAGTTCTTCAGGCTCCACTAGTGACGTGAGCCAGCAGGACATGGCCACGGAACCCCCTCCCACGCAGGGACCTGCGCACTGACCCCACACCAGGACGGACAAATGCCAGGAAGGACAAACAGCCGGAAAACTTGGCCGGCACCGCACAATCAGCCCGCAAGCCCCGCTCCCCTCTACACCCCATCTCAGGCTTTGCCCTGGAGCGATGGGGACAGCACCTCCCGCGACCCCCCGCCACCCCCCCCCAGCATCGAGCGGGGTCAGTCCTCGCACCCCACGGCTGGGTTTAGGATCGTCCACCCCCAGCACCCCACACCTGCCAAACCCCCGAGGTCCCACGGGTGGACCCACGCTGCCGGTACCTGCCCTCCGCGCCCCGCCGTGCCGCTGCCCGCACCGCCCACCGCGCCCCGCCTTTTATACCGGCCCGGGGGGCGGGACCGCCAACGTCCACGCCCCTCCGCGCCGCGCCGCCAATAGCCAGCCGCCCCTCCGCGCCCTCTCTGCCCAATGGGGAGCCGCCGCCGTGCAGCGGCGGCCCAATGGGAGGCCGCCCAGTGGGGCGCGCGAGGCGGGCGCCGCTTTCTCTGAAGCGCGCGCTTTTCCGAGAAATCAGCCGGAGGGGCGGGGCGGGGGCGGGGCTACAGGGGGAGTGGGCGGGGCTAGGGCGTGGGGACCCGCCCAGCTGGGTCTCGGGTCACTCTGCAGCCCGGGCTGCTCCCCAGTCCCAGCTCCATCCCCAGTCCCAAACCAATCCCCCCAGTCCCAAACCAATCTCCCCAGTCCCAGCTCCATCCCCAGTCCCAAAACAATCTCCCCAGTCTCGGATCGGCCCAGTCCCAGACCAGTTTCCCCAGTCCCAGAGAATCCCCCCCAGTCCCATATCTCTCCCTCTCCAGTCCCAAAACACTCTCCCTGGTCTCAGATCGGTCCCTTCCCCAGCCCAGACGGTCTCACCAGTCCTAGGTCAGTCTCCCCAGTGTCAGACTGGTCCCTCCCACGTTCCCCACCAGTCTCCCCAGTCCCAGAGCATCCCCCCCAGTTCCATATCTATCCCTCCCCGGTCCCAAAACAGTCTCCCTGGTCTCAGATCAGTCCGTTCCCTGTCCCAAATGGTCTCCCCAGTCCTAGATCGGTCTCCTCTGTCCTAGATCAGTCTTCCCAGTCTCAGATTGATCCCTCCCCAGTTCCCAGCCAGCCTTCCCAGTTCCAGACCAGTCTCCCCAGTCCCAGATCGGTCCATCCTCAGACTCAGATCAGTCCATCCCCAGTCCCAAACCAGTCTCCCCAGTTCCAAACCAGTCTCCCTAGATCCAGATCAGTCCATCCCTAGTCCCCATCCATCTCGAGTCCCAGACCATCCTCCCCAGTGTCAGAACCATCCATCCCTGGGCGGTTCCCAGTTCCCTCCTGCAACAACCCCAGGTCCCAGGTCTGTCCCCCCCTCACTGCTCCGCCAGTGCCTGCTGTCCCCCAGCCGGGATCGGTGCCCTGGCAGTGCCCAGCAGCCCCAGTCCAGCCTGGACGGACCCAACTGGGGCCACTGGCCGTGGCAGAGTGTAAAGGACCATCTGCAGCCTGACTTCAGAGGGGTTTTTTGGGATTACCAGATTACACACACATTTCTTGGAAGAAAACTGTAATTACTCCCATGTGGGTAATACAGAGAAATAGGAAATGTATGGAGCTGCACAGATGGTAACATAAAAATAATGATCTAAGGTACACAACCTTGACTGTCATTTCTAATAAATAACGGCTGTAACAGCCCTTGTTTTTAAACACCCGACTGATCCTAATCAGATCCCCCCTGTGAGATTCGGAGACAGCCAAAAACATCTTTTGCAGTCAGATATGGTTAGGAGAATTATTTATTTTTTTTTACCAAGAAACAAATTAAGCTTTGCAGTGGGTGGTGCACCGCCATCCCCCCGTGACACCAGTCCTGCCCCACCATGTCAGCCAGAGACCCCCCCAGTAAAAAAGTGTTTCTTTTGTAACATTTCTGGCACATTTGGGATATTTTCAAGGGGCTCTGTATAATTGAGCCTCTCCACCCCCTTGTCCCCTCTGGAGCCCAATGAGCTGGAGGCTAATTGTAACCCTGCTGCTGGCGGGGTGATTCCATCACCTCTGCCTTCATTTTGGTTCCGCAACTTCATGGGCAGCCTGGAAAGGCAAAATCTCAATTCCCTGGGACAAGGGAGATCCCAAAGGGAGGAGGATAAAGTAATAAGCCCCTTAAATTGGGTTTTTCAGCCGCTCACGGTGCCGGCTGCAGCAGGCTGGACAGGAGGGAAAAGCCCTGCAGCCCTGGCAAGGGAAAATGCAAAACACACCCTGGGGCAGGTAGCAGGGCAGGGAGTTTCTTGCAAACTATTTATCTGTGTGCAAAGAGCACCGCGGGAAGCTCTTTCACACTTCAGCAGAGTGATTTTCCCCATGCCAGAGGCATCTACATTTTGGGAGGCCTGATGGGGAGCTGAGCAGTGAAGCTTCTTTGCAATGTAGAAAGAAGTGGAAATCAGCTCAGTTTTACCTGCTTCAGGGCTTGCTTTCCAGTCCCCAGAAATCCTAAAGCCACTACAGGTTTCACTGATGTAGGTCAGAGTGGAAAAATATATATTTTTGCCTGGGACACACCTCAAAGTTGGAGGAAATTGGGTTTAGGAGATGCTATTTGGGCAACGGTGGCTGCTGAGATGTCAGGTGTGGGTGATGCTGCCATTTATGGGGAGCATCCCTTGGGATTCCCAAAATCAGGGGGATTTTTCCAGCTGCTTTGGTGCCGCAGTTCCCTGGGGAATGTTTGAGTCCCAGGATGGCCAGTTGTGGGACGGGAAGGGGCACAGCCACCCAGGCTGGTGCAGGTGACAGGATGACAGTGCTCCACGGAGCTTATCACACCTACTGCATATCTAATCTCTGCTTATCACAGATCTCTGATGACTTCCTATTATCACCAGAAACCAGCTTTCTTCTCTTTTTTTCCTGTGTGCAAGTTCCATTTTTCTGCTTCCTAAAATGATAATGCAGTCATTAAATCCAATATCGACCCAGTTTGCTCGACTTCCCTTCAGTCCACTCCATCAACAGCCTTTATGGTCCTTGATCTCATTAATTGCTCAGGGCGCTTTCCCACACAGAGTGTGCTGCAGGCACAAACCGCAACATACCTCCATGTAGAATAACAGCCAAAGGACCCTTTTTTCAACCTAAAAATACAGGGAAAAGCCCCATAATTTTCTTCCCAGAATCCTATACATTATGGCTAAACATCAAGTTTTTAAGTTTTTAATTTTGCTGGTGGTTCTCATCAAGAAAATAGGAGACAGGGCACATCCCTCCAGTCCCACCAGGAACACCACAAATCAAGACCAGCCATCCTCATGGTTTTAATCACTCTCCTCTTTATTAGGAGTTGGGCAAGTCACCCCCCGGCGCTGTCACACTCCAATTACCCAGAAATTTTTATTAAGGGAATTCCTAGAAATATTTTAAATGTCTTTTATAGTTCTCAGAACAGATATTTTTGAGAAACAAGGTATTTATAGTAAAAGGCTAAGCTGGCATGGAAGAGTTGAAAGTTTAAATGTAGAAGGGCTGTGTCAATGGGTTGGAACTCCTCTTGTAGGGCAGATGTGGGGAGCGCTGGCAGATGAAGCCCATGCTTTGGAAACGGACTGTATGAGTTTGGGGTGAAAAAGGGGCCATGGTCACAGTCTTTCGGTATGAAAAAGGTTGTGGGAGAGGGACAGCGTTAAATTGGTCTGTGGGTCAACCGAGTCCAAACGAGCAATTGGCTTCTTTTGCAAGCGGGGACATTCAGATCTGGTGGCAGGGGAAACCCAAAACCTCTCCAGCTCTGGGCATGGAAGTGGTGGGGACAGGCAGCCTCTAGCACCGTCGGATTTCCCCCCTCCCTGGAGGGGTGGGTTAAGAAAAATGCCAAACAGCCATCTGTCAAAGGCAGGCTGGACCAGGAAAGTCCACACACGAGGGGCATCTGCAGCCCCGGGAGCAGCTGAGCCTCCTGCCCCTCTCCCCATCCCACGGGGTGACAGCCGGGCTCGGCAGCACACCCACATCCCAGGACCCATCCCTCCCTCCTCGGGACAGCCTCACAGGCTGCATCGGCCCCCAGCTGCACTGCAAAGCAGAAGAGAAGCTGGCCTCTCCCATTTCATCCTGCTCTGGCTTTCCAAGGTCTGTGCTGGCATCCCCGTGCCCTGCCAGAGCAGCGCCTGGGTACCGTGCTGCTGGAGGGAGGGATGCTGTTGCTCCGAGTGGTGGAAAAGCGGCTGCAACCCACTGGGAAATGGGAGAACGGGACAGAGCAAGACACTGTCATCAATTAACTGACTTGCCCAGGTGTATACACGGAGCCAGTAGCCAAAGGGAAGGTCTGCAAGTCCCCCCCCTTCCAAGCCTTGAGCCCACGGCTGAGGCCGGCGCTGGCTGCGTGCTGCCCTAGACATGAACCCCCGCGGGCGCTTGGCAAAGAGAAGACTGAGTTTTCCAAGGCCCAGGGCCATCGTCTGCCTGCAAGCAGCCGGCTGCTTATCTGTTCATCCATCTGCTTCTGCTGGTGCCACCTGCGTGGTAGGGGAGCGGGTAGGTGGGAGCTGGAGAGCGGAGCCAGGAGCAATCCCTGCTTCCCAGCTGCTGCTCCTTCTGCCTCTGCTCCTGCTGGGCCAGCAAGCTCTGCAGCTCCTCCTGGTCCTTGAACAGGTTCTTGCCATAGTCGCGGCGGATCCAGGCACGGTACTGCCAGGACAAAGCCAAAAGGGGTTGTCAGGGTCATCGAGGGCTGAGACACCCCCAGCTCGAGAGCCGGGGATTCCAACAGCTCCGTTGGAAAGCGGCAAGCTGAGCGGGGGCAATGCCCGCTGCATCCCAGCCACAGCCTCAGACGGGGCCGGGGGATCCCCAGCCACAGCCAGCAAGCAGCAAGGTCCCAGTTTCACAGGAGCTCACATGCTACGAGGCACGACCGCATCGTACAAGAGATGCGACAGTTCCCAACCCACATCCCCAGCCCGGCACAGATGGACCTGGAAAGCTGGCAGCATCCTCAGCTTCTCACGCTGGCTGCAGCCGGGACGGCAGCTTTATTTACTTTCCATTGCCAAGAAGCTGCTGTTGTTCCTTGTGTGCCTGAATTCCCGTAAGAAAAGCTTCCCCATGCTTTCTCCCCGCCGTGGCAGCGTGGGGACAGGCTGCACTCGTTGCCACAAGCCGCGCAGCCAAGTCGGCTCTTGCATGCTGAGGCAGGTTTGTTTGCAGAGCATCTTGCTCGCCACCGGGCAGCTGGGGGGGGGTGCCCCTCATCCCCCCGCATGGCTGCAGCCAGCTGCAAAGGCTGCTCCGGCAGCAGGAGTGTGCCAGTGGCCGGGGGCCAGCTGGCAGCAGGCTGAGGTCCAGAGGTGGCTGGGAAGTGAGAGACAGTCCATAGAAATGTTTCCCGCTACCGCTGGGATGAGAAACGGCCAGATGGGCCCAGACTGCAGTGCCCGGGAGCATGGGCAGGAACGGGCCGCTCTGCGGGGACCCACGGTGCTCACGGGGAGCAGGAAGGGCTTTGCTGTCTTCCAAAGTACCCGGGATCTGGCCGCTCCAACGAGCAGGATTTACTGGGATGAGTGGCAGGAGCACGCCCAGCAATACCGAACAGCTTACAGAAAAGGATGGAGGGCACAGCTGGGCATGAGAAACCTGCGGGGGGGAAAGGATCCAGAGAGGGACTGAGCATTGGTGTCCCGGTATGGGGTAGCACTGGGACAGGCATGGAGTGCGGCTGGGGGAAGCAGAAGGAGAGGGCAGGCAGCCCCCACGAGCTGCCCAGCCTCGGCACCCCCGATGGGAGATGCCCCTGCAATGGCTCCGGCATCCCGGGGTGCCACGGCAGCACCCCACAGCCAGGAGCTGACAGCGAAGGTGCGGGATGCAGGACAGAGGGACGGGCAGCTCAGCCCTGTCCTGCCGGGGCTTCTGTGGGCCCAGGGAGCACGAACCGCAAGAGGAGAAAGTCTGAGACTGACCCTGGCAGCATCCCCCCACTCCTGCAGCCGGGGAAAGTCAGCTCGGACAAGAGGGGATTTCCACAGGGAATGTCTGGATTTCCCAAATCCACTCTCTCAGACAGTGGGACTCACCACAGCTGCTGCCACTCGCCACCTGCAAGCGGGAAGACCCCGAGAGCCAAACCTGATTTCCCTGCTAGAAAATAACCCCTGGGAAGTGAGTCCCAAAGGATTAGGGACAGGATTTGGGGAAGCATCTATGCTAGCTGCTCATGGGGGGAACTTCCCTCTCATGCAAACCATCCGGAGGGATGAAGCTCCATGGGGACACCAGCTCGGCACCCACAGAGGCTCGGCACCCACCACCCAGCCTTGGAGCCAGCTCCCACCATCCAGCGAAGGAGGGAAGGAGCTGGCACAAGGCTGGGGGAAGCACCCCGCTGCTGCTGCCAGGCGTTTCCTTCTAAAGCCAGAGCAAGAAGTGGTTACAGCCCGTTTCCTCCAGCTCTGACCACTAACCCACTGCCCTCCTCCTCTCTCCTGGGGCCAGGAGCATCTGCTTCATCTGGGATGGCACCGGGACGAGGGGAAAGGCAGCCTGGGCACGGTGTGCCAGCACCACGGGGAAGACCTTGGGGCAGGGGGATGACGGATCCATCACCCAAATGCCCATCTGTGCCCTCTCTTACATCCACTCTGTCTTCTCCGCTCTCACTTACTTCCTTTTCTAGCCTTACCCGTCATCCTGCTGCTGCTCTTGGTCCCTTCCTTCCTTCTTTATCCATCTAGCCTCGATAAGCACCATTTGCCAGCTCAAAACCACAGCTGCACACTCGAGGCGTGCTTCCTGCGGCGAGGGGCCAGCTGGCCAGTCCCAGAGAGCATCTTCCCCATTTCTGCCTCCTGGGGTCCCGTCTGAGGTCCCTGCTCTGCATCGAGGAAACCGAGGCACCAAGGGTTGCTTGCCTGCAGCCCTGGGCAGGAGGTCCCCAGAAGGACCGACCTGTCCCTCGCAGGTTTTAACCAACACGAAATGAGGCTTTTCCTCCTGAGCAGCCTGCCCAGCCCTTAGCCGTGTCTGCTCCCAAGCACTGCGTTTCCAAATTGCTGCCTGCTGGGATGACAGCTGGGTGAAATGAGGAAATGTAACCTCTTTTCTACCTTCAGCAAGAGCTGAAGCTCCGGTCACGATACCCTTGCCTCCCACATCCTACCTACACACACGGAAAATCACCCCAAAGCCACAAACGGGAACAAGGGGTGACCTCCCTCCGCCAAGCTCAGCAAACCAACTGCTGCTTGGCACGAAGCAAGGCACAGGACCCACGTGGCATCGGGTCCCACAGGCTCCTGGCCACACAGATCTGTGCCTGTGGTGCCCACAGACCCACGGGACCCTCAGCCATCCACCTCTTCTGACCTGCCCGCAGATCCCTTCCTCTTGCAAAGGTGGAGGGCGCAGGGGCAAGCTGGGAACTTGGCATTGCCGGTGGGGATGGAGCATCCATCCTGGCTCTTCCTCTTCTTCAAATGCAGCTGCGGGTGAGTAATGCCAGAGTGCTCCTCGCTCCAGCACCCAGCCTTTGCCCCCGGGGCCGTGCTAGCATCAGTCCGCCCACGAGGGCCATCCGCAGCTTCCCTCCCCGATCGTGGGGAACACAGGCTCTTCCAAGTAAAAGGCGGCTCTTGCTAAACCCCGCAGCTCAGAAAAAACACATCCAAACGCCTCCACCCTTGGCTCTGCCTTTGGTATTTTCAGGGAAACGCTTGCAAAGCCCCTGGCAAAAATTCGAGGGGATGAAAAAGCAGAATCTAAGAGAAAGGGAGGTAACTGCTGATCTCAGCCTGGATTTTGGGGAGCAGGAGGGATAGCTTGGATGGAGGGGGGGGGGGGGGGCACAGTAAACTCTGCATCATGGTCTGTGCTGGGATGCAGCCAGGGTGTGGGAGGGTTGGGGAGAGCCGGCCGGGCTGGGGAAAGCCCTGCAGGGAATCTCCAGCACCGAGGGTGTTTTGTAATCCCTGGGACCCTCTTCTACCCTCCTCCACAGGCATCTGTGCAAGCCAGTGATAATGGGGCAGGGCTGTGTCCCTCATGTGACAGCGCCTGCCTGCTCCGTCCTGCACCCAGGGAAGGGAACTTGGCGGGGGGGAAGGGGCTGACACTTGGGCCAGTGTCACATGCTGTCCCTGCCTCTCTCCTGGGAGGAGAGAAATCCCCTTGAAGGGCTCAGCGCGGCCGGAGGGACCACCAGGTCCCCACCACCATTTGCCGTGGGGCCATTGCAGGATGCTCGTGGATGCTGCGGATGAGGGGGGGATCTTCGCCTCCAGGGCTGGGACCGAGTTTAGGGGTGACGTGGGCTGCGAGATGCCTTGTAAACATGGAGTTGTGGGTTACTCCTTCCTTGCAAAGGTCCAGCTGTGGCCTCCCGGGCCAGTTTTGGACCCCGGTCCTTCGCTGCGGAGCCCAGGTCTGGGCAGAGGAGCAGGGTCCGGCGTGGGAGGCTGGAGGGCAGCCAGGGAGGCGGGCAGGATCTGTGCTTTTAAAGGCCTTTCCCTTTGCTTTCGAAGGCTTTCCAGGTCAAAAGTGCAGCTGTGATCTCTGCAACTAACACTCTCCCAATTCAACACGCCGCTGTCGCTCCCAGCTGCCGGCATCCAGCTCGGCTCAGCTACAACAGCCCGCCCTCGCATGGGACGGGAACCCACCCAGCCAGGGCTTCTGCTCTCCTAAAATCTGCTGCTCCACAGAATTTTGGGGAGGAAAGAGGAGAATTTCTCCAACAACCCTTGCTCCTATCTGTCGTCTGCCTCTAAAAGCAGAGGGCTTGCTGTCAGAGGAAGCCCAGCCAGATCCAAGCATGCCCAGACATCCTGAAGCCGCTCACAAGAGCCTTCCTCCCTCTCCTCTTCCCCTTTCTGCCTCCAGCTCCCACTGTGCTGCATTCCCAGGAACCGGCCCAGCGCCCTTCCTGGGGCTCCCAGGGGACTTGCTGCTCCCCCACCTCTCTCGCTGTGTCCTAACTGAACTGTCGAGAAAAGCACTGGGGTTTTAAAGAGCTTTTTTAGGTGCACTCGCATAATGTCTAGGCACTTTTTTTTTTTTTTTTTTCATGCAAAACTCAAAATCCCCAGGTAATAAATAGCATGCACAAAGGCCAGCTCGGGCAAACAGCTGGCTCCTGCAGTGAGCTGCATGCAAAAGAGCCGTGCGTGTTTGCAGACTCTGCAGACACGTATATAAGGGGGGACGTCGGCGCGGGACGTACCTCCTGCAGCAAGGTCACCTCGTACTCTTGCAGCTGCTGCTGGAAGCCAAAGTTGGGGCTGACGTAGGACCTCACGGCCTTGGTGGCAGCCAGGCAGCCTTCCCAACCGAGCTCGGTCACCGTCATGAGGTAAGCCACCAGGATGGTGGTGCTGCGGGAGACCCCAGCCAGGCTGGCACGGCACGAGGGGACCGCGTCAGGGAGAGGGATTCCCGGCACGGAGGCTGGTGCGACCCCAAATGCATCTTCCCGCGGGCAGCCCCTCTCGCTGGGGTGCCGGTGGGGTTCCCCAGCCATGGGTTGGGTGGGGGTAAGGAGCCACAATGACCAGGGAGACATTGCTGGTAGCCCCGGGCATGTGTCTTCCCCCTGTCCCCTCCTCTAGCCTGTCGCACCTCTTTGGATGCTCAGGTTTTGAGTGCACAGATCACCCATCTCCACAGATCTCAGCAGTGGAGACCTTCCCCTGCCGCCCTCCCGCTGCTCCTTTTCTCCTCTTCTTCCTCCCCCACCACAAGTGACGTTCAACACCAAGAACGTTTTTCGGGAGCCCATCCCCACCTCCCAGGGGACCGATGCGAACAGGGGACGCCAGGCGCTGACGGCAGCTCTCACCAGTGGACGAGGCAGCCTCCCCCACCGAGCCGGCACTCGTGGATGAACTTGATGCACTCCTTAAAATGCTGCAGCCTGCAAGGAGAGAGGCAGGGAGGTGAGGATGGGAGGGCTGCCCACCCCTGCAAAGCACCAGGCCACCCTGGCAGCAGCAGTGTCCCCACCCAAGGACTTCCCACCGCGCTGGGGCCACCGGCGTGGGGTGGGAGCAGAGATCCTTCCTCTGCCAGGCAAAGGCAGAGGGGCTGATCTTCATCTGCCAGGAAGGAAATGACCTAGGAGACTTTCCAGGGGATTTCCCGTTTCCCAAGGCGTTAAGATGGGAGCGGGGCGATGCCATCAGCCAGACCAGCTCTGGGAAGACCCCAGGGACACAGCCTCCAGAGCAAGGTGTCACCTTGTGCCCAAGAGCCACGCACATCCCCGCCTCAGAGATTGTCCTGAGCCATCAGCTCAGCCCTAATTCCCAAACGACGTCGAAAACACTCGGCTGCCTCCAAGGGAAAGATGTCAGCGGGGGGAAAAAGGCAAGGAGAAGGTGGCTTGTGAGGTGTTTTCCCTGCAGGTCTCCAAATGGTGCAATTCCCTTCCCCTCCTCACCCCAAGCAGCCCCTCCGGCCCCTTCTCACCCAAGGGAGGGCACAGAGAGGTGCCCGTGCCAGGGAGGTAGCGCTGCCAGCAACAACAAAGGCTTGTCCTCGGATAGCTGCCTGCATTCCTGAAAACGTAACCAGTAACTGCCACAACCAGTAACTGCCAGCAAGGCAGAGGGAGCACATTAACCCTAACCAGTGAGTTTTGAAGCAAAATGGGGCAGGTCAGGGAGCCAGGACTTTCTGGCTGCTCAGCTGCAACACGTTACAATGCTTCTCTGTTTCTGACCTGGATGCTCAGCGATATGAGCAGCACCCATCTTTTTGAGACCTAGAAAACAGGATAAATAACTCCAGATGCACTGAGGAGATAAAAGTGGGTGGTTGTGGGAGGGTTATGCAGGCTCCGGTGAGACACATTCCCCCTGCTCATCCCTGCAGGGGATGCTGGAAGCTGCTGCTGATCCCTCCCCGAAGACAACGTGCATTTCTGAGAGCTCACGCCAAGCCTGATATTTGGCTCCTTGGCACGTCTTTGCAATAAACACTGCCCATCCCTGCTCAGCCGCACTGAGCCTTGGGGCAGTTTTGAGGCAGCAAACCCGATTCTGGGTCACTTGAGCTGCTGGTGGACTCCTTGACCTGACTGCCAGGCACACAGCCCCGGCTTTTTCGGGAGAAGAAGGTCTCTTTGGTGCAGCCGAGCCAGAGCTGCCCGGCAGCAAGAGCAGGAGCCGGACTTCCTCTACCTCCGCGTGATGGGGTGGGCGTGCGCCGGCACGGCCTTCCTGATTTCTCAGAAGCCAAGGCACGAGCTACCGCAGAGTTATTCCCCCCCACCATGCCCCTTGCTCAGGGCTCGCTCCCAGAGGGACTCAGAGCTGGCTTCCTTGTGGGGGACAAGGCAGAACCCTCCAAAACTTCCCCCATCCCCAGGGAGGGGGATGTTCTTCACTCTGGCTTAGGAGGACAGGGCTCAGGCGCCTTCTAAGAAACCAGCCAAGGACATATTAAAAAAGTAACAGGGGGTTCTGCTGCCCAAGAAGAGGAGGAGAGAGGGGGGAGTCTCTGAAGCTGTGATCATACTAAAAATATTGAGCCTCTCAGCCCTGGAAGGAGCTGTCAGTCCATCGCTCCTCACGGGCTACAAACGTGGCTCCTCCTCAACCACCCATTTCCCTGCCTAAAGCTTGTCCTGGGGGATTTTTCCTCACCCTACTCATCTTCGAAGAACAGACAACATGCCCCAGGGGCTGCACTTGTTGCCTACACAGGTCCAAGCTCTCCAAAACCTCCAGCCCCTTAACTGGGACCAACAGGGATGCACCTTGCTTGCAGGGACATGATGCTCTCGCCTCCAGCTCCCTCGGCACGCTTGCTGCCAGCCTCCAGCCCACTCCACACAAGCAGCATCACCCTCCCAACCCACCCCAGAGGGAGGGAGGTGAGCACTTTGGCCACCCCACCTGTCCTCACCCACTCCACGGGTTTTTTTACCCCAGGCAGCCAGCCAGAGGAAAGCTCTCCCCCTGCTTTTCCAGCCTCAAAGTGTGGGATCGGGGAGTGAAGCCTGGTAATGGCGAGAGCCACTGAGGTCCTGAGTCACAAGCACCTCCTCTGCAGGACACAAAGTTCACCAGGGTTGTGAAATCCAAGGCATAAACTGACAAGCAGAAAATAGTTTCTTGAATAAATCTTCCTTCCGGCAGCTAGCCTTATCTTTTTTTTTGTTTTTTTTCCCTTTTTTTTTTTTTTTTTTTTTTTTTTTTTTTCCCTTTTTGGTAGACATGCCACAAATGCAAAGAAATGAGAGAAGAGAAAAAATAACAACCAAAAAACCCAGTTCTTGCTGAGGCAGGGTTTTCTTGTAAAGCTTCTCTTTCCGCTCAGTGGGAGCATGAGCAAGCAGAATCACACCCCCGGGCACGGTGGCTCCCAAGGATGCTGGAAACCAGCATCTCCACAGACAGGGCTCAGCCCGGTCACTGAGCATTACGTTTTGATCTTTTTTAGGGTTTGATTGAAGAGAGAAAAAAAAAAAAAAAAAAACAACAACACCTCGGATTCGCCCATTTTCTGTTTGCAATGGATGTTTTATGGATGCCTGGCATGCAAAGCGGCAGCAGGGTGCTGTGACCCCCCCAGTGCCAGCAGCGCCTGCACCCATCACACCCCAGCACCATGTCCCATGAAATCCGGGGGCTTCCTTGCGGCACTTCTCTCCAGTTTCATCTTGAGAACATCATTAAAAGACTGATAAGTATCTATGCTTTGTATGGGGAAAACCACATTGACTTTAAGAAACGTTTTATTTCTCTTTCCAAGGAAAATGTCTGGAAGACTGAAACAAATAATTGTCTTTCTAATGCTCCAATTTTCAAACCTGCCCAGTAGAATAATTCTGAAATTTGATGAGAAACTAAATTTTCTGACCACAAACACAAATATAAATTGATTTTTAAGCCCCACAAATGCCATTTACCACCCAAGAATGAACCACAGCTTTTGTCAGGCTCAGCAACGATATGAAGTTTTCCCAGCACAAATGGACTGAATCTTCATTCTGCAGAGTCTGAGCTTTCATTAGCCAACAACTACCAACAGGTGATGTTGGGAGGCAAAAGGACGGCAAAAAACTTACAGGTTTTGGCTGGATGAATCCGAGGCCGAGATGCAGAGATAGGTCATGTCCTGCAATACAAAGATGGTTGCAGTAATAAGATACCCCTGAGAAACATAAAATCCCTCATTTCTCTCTTTCACCTCTCCCCAGCTGACCCTTTGGCGAGGAGAAAGCCACGATCTGCTTTTGGGTACATCGCCCTGCTCCCTGCAGGTAGGGAGAACAGTGACAGGTCACCTCCATCCCACCCCGGGTTATTTTTCCCCCGTTTCAGCCCAGAGGAGAGGCCAGGTTGTGGGGAAGCCCCTATAATGCTCAAGAGCCCCCCAAAATTGAGCCACCCCTCTCTCAGGGCCCCGACCAGCAAGCCCTGCCAGGAAGATGTGTGAACACGCACTGATGAAGTCATTCTCATCAATGAGTTATTTCCTCCCCATCCTTTTAATACACAATAAATCATCCTGCCGCATGTTGGCGTAGGTCAGATTACTTTCCTTTCTTTAAAACATCGCTTCCTTGATCCTCCCTGTTCTGAGCTAAAATTAGATCCTTTTCATCCGAGGTTTTGTGTGTTTTTTTTTTTTTTTTTTTTTTCTTAGTGAAACGGGTGGAAATCCTGCCAGCCAGAGCTGAAATGGCTGAGCACCTGGGTTTGCCCCATCTCCATCAGCTCTCTGTGGCATCACTGCCAAAACGTCCACTCCCAGGCTGATGCAGCCCAACCCCAGTGGGCACCCTCGCTTCCCTCCAGCCCAGGGCAAATCAGGAGGCTGGAAAAAGGTGATTATTTAAGGAGGGAAGGAGCAGAGTGGGACAGGCACAGGGATATTCCTGTGCTGGAAAGACCCACATTGCAAGGATGAGTGCAGGCGGGCTTTCCTGTGCATCACCTCTCCATCCCATCCATCCTGCCCAGTCCCGTCCCACGCTCACCCCCGCCATCCCACAGCCTCTCGTGGGACGGGGAGGAGGTGTCACAGCAATGCGTCACTTGCCAGCTCCCCGTGGCATGCCAGCCAGCTGCTCCCCACCTGGAGAAGCTGTCGGAGAGGCCGGGGTGGAAGAGGGGAAACGGAGCCAGCGGGTTCCTCATCCACACCCCCGGCACGCAGGGGGTGGTGGGTGGACGGGGACCAAGCACCGTGGACCAGCAAACAAACGCCAGCAGGTTTTGTGGGATGAGTTGTGATGAGCCGTGGCTTCCCGAAACCTGGCTGCGCCCCGCCGCGCCTGGCACCAGCCCAACCTCCCCGCGGCGAGGAGAGCCGCCGTGCCAACCAACCCAGCAGCCAAAGCGACCCCAACCCCTCCCCAAACCCTGACCCACACCCCAATCCCAGACTAACTGCCGGGCTCCTGGCGGCTTCCCCTTCCCCCGTGGGGCCGGGTGCCCCCCCCCATCCCGCCTTGGGGAGCTGGGCCACGCATGGGAACGGTGCTGGGGTTTTGCGGTTCCCGACCGGGGGCTGTGATTGACACATTGCTCAACCCACCATGCCTTTCCAGTTCCCCTTTCCACCAGCCCCGGCGGCTTGCTCCGTGTTGTAAGCTCGCCCGTGCGGTTTGCTACCCGTCTGGCCGTGCCCCGTGCCCCGCCAGCCCCAGCTGCTGCCCCTTCACCAGCCACGAGCCGTTTCTCTGCACCCACTTTACTCAGCCTCCTTCCTTCTCTCTCTCTCCCTCCTCCCCGTTACTCAATGCCTCAGCGGGGGAAAAGGCTCGAGCTGGTGTTTTGCTGGGGCTCCCTGCCCGTCGAGGTCCCGGAGGGCGAGGCAGCCAAGGAATCGCCCTTTTTCCCGGGATTTGGGAGCTGGCAGCGGGTCCGACGCCGGGATGAAGCGCAAGTTGCGCGTGGCCATCGGAGCAGCGTGGCTTGAGCATCCCCAGCACAGCTCCACCCAGCCCCACGGGGCCGTGAGGGCAGGATTTGTGCACGAAAGACCTGGCCGGCACCTCCAGCGTCAACCCACCGGGCAGCTCCCTCCTGCCTCAGTTTCCCCCCACCCACAGCCTGAGGGCTCCACGAAGCGGGAGGTGCGAGGGAGGGACAGGACAGAGAAAGCCAGGGTGTCCCTGAACCCCTATCCTGGATGGGAGGGGGTGCTCCGGGTCCCGCTGTGCTCCCCCCCCTGCCCCTTCGGGGCTGGATGTGGCCCCGGTGCTGTCATCCGTGGGGCACCGCCGCCCTCTCGCGGTTCTCCCTGCGGCAGCACCGGGCACCCCACGGCTTCACCCCTTCCCGGCTGCACACCGCTTCACCCTAAAAACGGTCGAGGAGGTGGTCGTGCCCCCTTCCTCCCCCTGCCCCCCCCCCAAAACACCCCGCTCCCCTGTCCCCCCCAAAATCCAGCGCTGAGCCCCTCTGGGTGCAATTCAACACGGCGTGGGGCGAATCCAGCATTGCTTCTCCCCTCTCTGCACCCTCCCAGTCCCTGCTCCTCAGGGGGTTCCCCCAAGCCCCCCAACCCAGGCACTCACCTCCAGCACCGGCTTGGCACTGCTGTGGACGGAGAGGATGTGGGTCACCCCGTTTCGCAACAGGTTTTCCCGGTCCTCAGAGTCTGGAAGCAGGAGCAGCACCTCAGTCCCCTGCCCCCCTGGGAGATCTGCTGGACCAAGCACCCACCAGCAACCCGCACCCATCACCCCCAGCCCCTCTACCCCACCCACACCAGCCCCTTCCCCACTGCATCTCGCCCCACACGGTGCAAGAAAGGAGACCAGGCATCGTGACGCGGCTCCTTCAAAGCAAAATCCCCCTCAGAGGCACTGGGTATTCATCAGACTCATAAAACCACCCCCAGAATGAGAAATTATACTGCTAACTTGGAAAAGGCTGTTGTGGCCTCACTGTTGGGTGAAAGCCAAGCTTCACTCTGCTCCCCACGGGGCCAAAGGCCCCAGCGAGGAAACCAGGCATTGGCCCACTGTAAATATTGTCACGGCAAACACGGGGAGGTTTCCAGCCATGCCAGGGGTTCCCCAGTGCTCCCCAGTGGCTGGTGACCGCAGCTCCCCACAGACATCCCTTTCCTGGGCTAGAGCTGCACAGAGCCACTTGCAATTGGGATGAGGCTTTTGATCTCTGGAAGATGCTGAGGTCCCCAGCCGGGAGCAGGCACAGGGACTCCTCCAGCCCCGACGGCTGCCCAGGAATCCCACAGCAACACGGAGGTGGAGCAGGGAAAGGCACTCACCGCGGATATTCCCAAGGTAGAGGCCTTTGACAACCTGGGAGGTGACAAAAAGGAGAGAGAGATTTCAGACAGCAACGGGCAGAAAAGGTGCGTCCAGTGTGGTGGGAACGTGCGTGGTACCAGCAGGACCAGGGCACTTGGCATCAAACTCACCAGGCACCTAATTAAGAAATCATCTTGTTTAACGAACAGCAAAGGCTGAGCCCACTCAATCTGCCAGACCAAACCCCTCCAGAGCTCAGGAAAACTCAGCACATAAATGGAAGGGGGCTTGTGTTTGGTCCTATTGCTATCAGAAAGGCAGCGCTGGGGGCTGGATTCCCCAAACACCTCACCCCACCCCAGCCTCCTCCTTCAAGCTGGGGCTCCAGCAGAGACAGCCCCCCCCCCCCCATCATCCCAACTCCTGGAGACAGGCCAGTCCTGCTGCAGCTCCAGTTTGTTTTACTGTTCTATAGCAACCACCTCTTGCAAATAGTTTCAAAGGTTGCCTTCGCCAGCTGGGGATAGACAGGCAAAGGCACAGGCTATTTATAATATTTTCTGGCCAGGATGTTGCAGTAAGTGCTGTCAAGTATGCAAATTTGTCCTCCAACTTGCTGCTGCAGGGTTATGAAGGAGAAAAAGGGGCAGCTGAGAGTATTTACAGGGTGTAAGAGCCAGCCAGAGCAGTTACCAGTGGCACAGAAGAGCTGATTAACCAGTTGGACTTGTTTACACCCATCTGGCAGAAGACACGGGGTTTGAGAGGCTGTAAGAAGGGTTTTCAACAGCACTGGGTCACATCCAGCCCACCTCCTCCACTCAGCTGAACCCCAGCCCGGTCCTGGGCTGCAAACGTCTGTGCCCAGCACAGCACAAGCTGTTACCGCTCGAAGGGGGACGCCGAGCCCCACATCTCGTCACGTCAAAGCCGGATCTTGCAACACAAATGTGTCTGCACCAACCCAGCCCCCAGCAAAGGCTCCCCGAGAGGGTTTGGTGGCCCCTGGGAGGCTGTAAAAGCCACTTTGCAGGTCGAGCTGTGTCTGCAAGGGGTGAAATCCCGGTGTTAAATCATACCAGGGCCATGCAGAGAGAGTTTGCCCCGATCCAATTCCTCTGTTGTTGTCCCAGAGTCTAATTTTAAACTGGAGAACACACATACCAAGTGGTTATTTAAGGATACCAACAGAAATCAATCCCCTCTGCCAGCCCTGGAGTTCAGCTGAGCAACAAGCAGCAGCAAAACCCCACTTCCCCCTTCGCAGCGCACGGCTGCCAGGCCCAGACACGTCCCAGGGGGTGACAAGGGGAGGAAATTTCCCTGCAGGGACCCCCATCAGCCCTGAGGACGCTCATGCCACGTCCTTACCACCCAAGGGACAACCATCTAAAGCCAGCTGTCACTTTTCTGACAGCCGCCGACGCTTAGCTCATCACCTCGGATATAAACCCGGGGATCGCCGTTTGCTTTCTTAATTCCCTTTCATAAGTGCTTCAAGTTTCAAAGGGGAACGAGAGAGAGAGGAGGCAAATGGTTGGATTTAGGGCATCGTGGTGGTCTGGGAACAAGCATCCCCCTGGGCTCAGCAGAAAGGTCCTGCTCAAGGAGGACACGCTGGCCTACATCCCGCCGTCCCCCCAGTACCTTGCTCATTCCACTCCCCATGGTTTTTCACTCCCCAGGGTCAGGATTCAGGTGGCTTCTCGGTAGCCAGGGTTATCTGCAAATAAACACCCGAAAAATCCCAGACAGGATGGGGAGATCTGCACCCCCCCCCCCCCCCCAACAGTGCATCCCTCTGCCAAGAGGAAGAAGGGGAGCACACGCCAGGAGGGGATTGTGCAGAGCCCCAGCAAACTCAGCTCGCTCACCGGCCGCAGGCTGCTCCGGCAGGTCTCTGCCGCTGCGCTGACGGGTGAAGGGGACAGAAGAGAGTGGCTGGTGCCAGACAGAGGAAGATGAAATAAGGATCCGGGGCCGTGGCAAAGCTCGGGTTTCTCTCCCTGGCTTCCTGGGGCTTTCGCAGCCTTTTGGGGAGGGCGACGAGGAGGAGGTTCCTGGGAAGAGTGACCCCCTCGTCCCGGCGATGCTCACCGGGCTTCATTCTGGGATGCTACAGGCTGGTACAAGCCCTGCTCTCAGCAGGATTTCTCTCCCGTTCATGCAAATACCTCCCAGTCACAGGAACAAGAGGAGAATTCAGAATAAGGCGCTTACCTTGGAAAACCAGAGTGTGGCACAGCTAATGGAGCATTGAGGAGAAGACCATCATCTCCCACTCCCTCCAGGACAGGAGAGGAGCTGTAAAGCAGCGCTGCAATTCCAGCACACGCTTCGAAACGTCGATATTTTCAAAGCAGATACGCTTAGCAGCTCGCCAGCCCCCTCCCAGAGGCACGAGCTGCACCAAGAGCAGAGAAAAACAAACCACGAGCGTAGCAAAAACCCCGGCAGCCGTCGCCAGTCTGCGCTTCCATCATCCTTGCAACATCTTCCTCAGCACCCAGGGAGACAGGTATTTCACCTCAAGGGAGGTTTCAGCTGCAGGAAAGGGAGCTCATCGCTTAACTCCCACCAAATCATCTCACCTTCAAAACCTTTGCAGAATTTCTCTGGCTGGAAGGGAAAGGCTGGCCAGCCCCCAGTCACAAGTGGCTGAGACCTCCCCCCAAGCTTTCCACCACGGTCGTTAAACACATGCATGGATCTAAAACCGTGATAGCCCTGTCATCAGGAAAAGAGCAAACTGAAGCCAAAGCTTGTTTTAATCTTCAGAGGGGTGTTTTTAAACCGAAGGCAAAAGTTTGCCTGCAGACAGCCTAGGGGAGACCTGGTAGCCAAAGGGAGAAATCCGGCAGCTACAGGCAGAGCAAAGGCACCAGTTTTCTCAGCTCAGGCCCTGAAAATGTTAAGCCACAAAGAGAACTTGTTCAGACCACGGTATTTAATGAAAGCTCGGAGATGCTCCCACCAAATGCAGCATTTCTTTCCCTCCTCCAGCCGCAGCCGTCCCCTCCGAACACCAGCACCTCACGCAAGAGGCGAGCCATGAAACGCGCTTCGGGGTTTCAGCTGAACTTATTCTTGGCTGAACTAGATCCAGTGATTCTCTTCCTCGCTCAGGTTCTGGGACACGGAGCCTCTGCAGGAGCAGGGATCTGCTGTCCTGCAGCTCTGACTGCACCCCAGAAACCTTCCCTTTAACTGATTATATACCAACCGCGACAAGATTACCTGGAGAAGCTCTGCCCCTCAGCCTGCACTACAGATTCCCATCACAACAAACACATTTGAAGACCAATAAAAGGAAACTTCTTTTTTTTTTTTTTTCAAGTTGACCAGACATTTATTAGCATCTATGTAGGTGGAGAGGTTGTTCCAGTAAATAAGCAACGAGGTCACACACAGGTGATGGAATCGTTTCGTATTCAAGCAGAGCAGGTTCCACTGAGTTGCTTCATTTCTTCCATTCGTTCTTCTCATAATCCCACTGGGAAGAGATGCCCTCCAGCGGGTTAATCCGCATGTCCAACATCCTCTTGGTCTGCATCGACAGCCACTCCTCGGAGAAGGTGTGCGGGATGGGGCCGTACACTGCAATTCAAAAGCAGGCGGAATCACATCGTGATACAAACTGAGCAAGCTGGGAATCGAGGTACAAATTTCACCACCAAAAAGCTTTTCCCCCCTCCCTGCTCCCCGAAGCCATCAGTGCTGATCCCACACAGGCCATCATCCTCCCTACACCCAATTCCGGAGGCGTTCAGCTCAGACCAGACACCCAACGTTGATTCTCTACCCATTTCGCTCATCAGCAAAAGCTTGTGCCGAGACAACAGCCTTCTCCTGACCCTTCCCCGCGAGGAGACGGAGCCTCAAGACGGAGAGCAGCTCATTTAACTGTGCGCTCTGCCTCACAGCAGCTGGAGGGCTCCCTGGAGGTGAGATCGTTGGCTGGGAAGGAAGCCAAACATGGCAGAAACCCAAACGTTTACTACTGAGGCGGCAAAAAGCTTTTGCGACAGCAGGTTTCCCAGGGAGGGGAAGCTCTGGGATCAGGAGTATCGCCACTCTTTCCTCTCCTCCCACCAAAGCGCTCTCCACCACCTTCACCTTTCTACGAGTCGGCTTCCTGAACATTTATGCTACGTACTCACTGATCTCCATGAAATTACAACCCCAGAATTGAGTTTTCAGAGACTAACAAACAGCAACTAGCCAGGAGGCCATTGGAATGGCTGTTCGATGTATCACTGACCCCCCGGAGCAGTTTACAGAGAATTCTCTGATTTCCCACCGGGTATAAACTTGCTCTTGAGAGTTAACACCACCTGGCATTTACTTACTGTAACGTTTCTGCCAAATGAGGATGACACCAGTTACACCAAGAAAGAACAGCACTCCACCGAGGACGGTCTTCCATTCGTTCGATCCTCTGTTCATTTCTGCGTAGCTCTCGTTAAATTTGATACGATACACTGCAAAAAGTTCAAAGCATTTCTTTTACTTTTCCTGTGACTTACAGGCAACGTGCTGCTCTCCAGAGGGAGGTGACCAAAGCCTAAAGCTGACTGACAGGGAAAGACCTCATAGCAGGAGAAATGGTGCTCCCCCTCCTTCCCTCCAACTCCCAGTCTGGTTATTGATCACAAAGCTTCCTAGCACAAAGAATTGCAACGAGAACTCTTGCATCTCAAAAGACTTCTCTCGGCTTTGCCACTAAGGCCCATAAGATTTTGAATTTCAAAACAGCATTAGATTTTCAGAGTGCTTATGAATATTTAAGCAGTTCCCAGAAGTTGTAAACCTTCTCGCTTTGACATGGGTGGACACAGCACTGTTCACAGAGCAGGTTTTCACATGCACAGCACGACGGCAGTTAGAAAAGGTGATGCACATTTGCAAGTCCAAACACCTGCACAGCTCTTTAATTAGCTGAAATTTGGTAATGCTAAAGTCAGTGGTCATTAACATTCAAATACACCGGGTTCATCTTACTCCGCTGGATTAACAACTGTTGCGGTGAAGAGATTTTTTTTTTTTTTTTCTGGCTTGTGGAAAGCAGATAGGAATCAAGAAACAAATATAATTATTATTTGTTTTCTGGAAGAGGAAGGAATTGCTGAACTTGACCTCAGGTACATGACAGACACCACAGCAGCCACTTCTCACTTTCAAAACAGCACCCTGGATCCCAGGAACACAAAGCACTGATCATCACTCGCCGACACACGAGGAGCTCCATCATAATCAACAAAGCTCCTTCACAGCTCGCGCGGAGCTGTTGGGAAGAGGAGGGTTTATCAGCTGCCCTAGCAGGCACCGTCTGTGGCGGTCGTTCTAATAAAAGTTGTTAATAATGAACACGTAACAGCCCTGACCGCGTCGTTGCTAGCCATCAGCTTACGCAAAGCCCCCGCTACCTACGTTCAACTTTCTCATCGACGGACAGAGCAGTCCAGGACGCCTTTTCCTTCTCTTTCAGGGCCTTCTGCTGAGCAGAGAGATCCTTCACAAAGGCCACTTCGGGCAGAGGAACATCACGACGGTCGACATAGGCTGGGAGGCTGAAATCCTCTGCTTTGACAACACCGGCTGCACACGGGAAGAGAAGACACACCCGCTCATACCCCTCTGACTGGTTACAATTCAAAAAAGCAACAGCTCGGTCAAAAAGGTTAAGGAATCCAGCAGGGAGAAGACTTCTAGATGAAGCCTTTAAAACGGGTGCTGTCTCAAGAGCGCATGAATAAAGCGGAAAGGGGATCCCCATATAAATTCATCTCCAAAATGATTTTATTAATGTCTCAGCCATCGCTGTTTCCAGCTGTCACGCTGCTCACCTCCCCTACCAAACACCTAGAAGCCCTCTACACCTTTGCCATCTCAGTTTCTGCCCAACCCTGGGCTCCTGCTGCCTCCCCAGAGGTGCTCAGCCCTGCCTGAACCTCAGATCTCCTGCCCTCGGCCTTGCCAACCCTCCACTCCCAACCCCATCCTTACCCAAACCCCACCAGCAACTTTTTTGTGTTCTCCCTCTGAAGCACCTTGTTTTATCGCCCTTATGAAACCACTGGGGCAGCTGCCACCTACCGTGTCCGTGCGCTTGCACGCAGAGGGAGGTGGAAATGGCTCTCTTCCCCACGAGGCTGAACACCCTCGAAGCCAACATCCTGCGGGCACAAAACAACAGCAGGCACGTCAGCGCCAGGCAAAGGCGCCGAACCTCCAAAAATGGAAAAAACACCGTTTTCCACTAGATTATAAGGAAGAAAAGCCAGCCTAGAGACATCCTGCCCCATCTCCAAAGGGCAGCATGTCACATCAAACTGCTCCGGGCTTTTCAGGAATGTTCCCCCACCACAGCAGCTTGGCTGAGTCTTCCTCACCTCATTTTTTTTTTTTTTTTGTCTCCCCACAGCCTCCTGGATTTGAACTGGAAAGCATTCCCTTGTTCCAGGCAATTCCTGGGGTGGTTTTGCTCGGTAACGAGCCGCTACCGGGCACAAGCCCGGCGCCAGCACATCCCACACCCACTGGAGAAACGACACTCGGGTAACGGTTCCCTCCCACAGCCCCGGGCTCCCACGCAAAAGCTCACCAGGAGCAGCCCCCCCCTCCCACCCCCACCGGGTTTCTCAAAGCCTCATCTCCATTCAAAATCTCAATTAAAAACCCCCCACGATCACGATCCGTTCCGCGCAGCCGACGGCCTGACCTTGCCGCGGGCCTCACCGCGACGGGGGGGGGGGGGGGGGAGCGTCCCACCCGCCCGACACGCCGCGATAGCGGCGACATAACGGTCCTTTCAAAGAGGGGGGTGGGGTGGGTGTGGGGTGGGTGTGGGGTGGGTGAGGGGCGGCTCTTTCCCTCCCCCCCCCCCCCCCCGTTATTTCCCCGCTCCCCACAACCCGGCTTGCCACAACCACCCGCCGAGTCCCG